GCTTATTGGAGTCGGGACAACTTCAACCTAAAAACTGAAAGTAGTCCTCACAAAAAGCAAGACGGGGATCTGGGAAACAAAAGGCAAACTGCTGCGACAAAGGTTTAGTCATTTTGAAGAATGTCTATCATGCTTTTGACAGCGATTGATACAAATATAAATGTTAAACAGTAATTTAATCCTGGGATTAATCCAGCTGTTCTGTGGGAATCGTGATAGAATATTTATCAATCGGTGGACAAACGGCATCCTAGACGCCTAACGTGGAACACAAATGGACAGATTCAGAGGGAGAACAGAAGCATACATGCAGGTTTAGGTTTTCATGTAATGCAGATCGCAAGCTCTGAACGAGTCCCTTCAGCACTGTTTAATCCATTGTTGCAAAAATGGTAAAGAATTTGTCATAACCACAAGGCTAAGTACTTGGCCATCAATTTAATCTGACGGCTCAGGCAAGCAGAGCAGCTAAGGTTCCCTTTGTGACTTTCACATGAGCGAATCTGTTGACATGACGACTATATTTGTAATGGGATCCCCCCATCGCCGATTTTTATTTCGCAAAAGACAAAAATTGCAATTAATTCAAGCGGAGGAATGAGGACTGAAGTCCTGATTTAAAAACGGATCACTAACGAGCCAGTTTGTCACGCACTGATGCAGATCATGCACTTCACCTGCTGAACTTGTCTTGCGCTGCCAGACTCAACACACACATCCGCACATGGTGGCTTAATTACTCTCCTCCCGTTTGCCCATCGCCGCTCGTCTGTAACCTGATGCCCCCCCCCCCCCCCACACACACACACAGTCTCTCTTATGCTCTTGTTTTTAATTCCAACACACATATGGAGGTCAGGTTGAGGTTGTAATTCCATGACATCATTGTTGCCATGAATCATAAGTGAGCCCCCAGGCAAAGTGAGGCTCTTGCCCCCCTGTCGAAGTGGCCTGAGCACAGGCACTCATACAGTCTCTCTGTCATCACTTACACCGAGTAGCCAGTAATCATAAATTCAGTTCATATGCATCAGAACATCATAAAAATGCTCACGTGGAGTATCGTACCATACCACTAATGTTTTCTTTCTTATTTAAAGAAGGAAGCTGCACTGAGTAAAACTTTAAGAGCACACTCAGGCTCAGTTGGTGTGAGAACCACCGGTCAGGTTTTAGACCTTATCAATCTTTTATGTTGTGTTGAGACAAATTGTTCAGGATTAGGTTCTTATTGCTAAAAGTCTTAACAGAAGCATTTTGTTTCATTGGCGACTGCAGAAATTAAGCAGGGCTCTATTTTTGAGGCAGTTTTTTATTTATTTTTTTATTTTGTTAGATTTGAGATCATTGTCCTTTTTCAGCCAGACTTCAATTGTTACATTTCTCAGTCAAGTCTTTGGACAGTGAGGCGCTCAGGAAGTTTTGTTGCAGCTAAGAAGGAAAAACCAAACGCTCACCTTACTTCACATTACTCGGTAGCTTCTAACAGTAACTCTGTTATCTTCTCTTTGACCGATTCTTTTAGATGTTAAACATCAGGGCAATTTTTGGTAATACTCCCATCTGGACTTTTAAGAGGCAATCGCAAGCTCTCGTCTCTTTGATCCGGTCTGCAAGATTTGCTGTTGCGCTTTAGATCGTTGTCCTGTCCAAGGTTCAGCTGTCTGACAAATGGCGTCAGATTTGACTGTAAAACTTTGGCATACATGAGGCCCCTTACATACTAACTCCATGCTTAACTCTGCGGAGGTCCGTGCCTACCCCAAAAAAAGCAGACGTCCGACGGTATTTTAAATGATATACGGTGTACTGATAAACTCCTAATTGCTAGGAAGGAACCTTGCTATGCGTCTAAGATTTACGAGAGGTATAAATTGGTGGTGGTGAACCATACCACCACCACCACCGCTAGATTCGTCTTGGATTGTGCTCCAGTCACTTCGGGAGTGAATGTAGCTATAATGATTTCCACATAGAAAACCATACTAACTCGAGACATTTCTTTTTCCAAAAGCTTTAGTTCTATCGAGTCGCTCATGAACATCCTGTGTGTTTCTGAATGATCAGATGGAGAAAGCAGGTCTCCTCTGGTTGGAAAACCTCTTCTTCAGGGATCACACAGGGGGAAGACTTCACACACACACACACACACACACACACGCATGCTTGTACTGATCCTCAAAACAACCAGGGTCTTTCTGTAAATCACTTTTACACATGTCTCTTCGGACCTGCACTTTGATGTACACTGCTCAAAAAAATAAAGGGAACACTCAAATAACACATCCTAGATCTGAATGAATGAAATATTCTCATTGAATACTTTGTTCTGTACAAAGTTGAATGTGCTGACAACAAAATCACACAAAAATCATCAATGGAAATCAAATTTATTAACCAATGGAGGCCTGGATTTGGAGCCACACACAAAACCACATTCACTCATACCAGCTACAAACGGATAAATATATAACCTTGCTACAGAGTGGGCTATTAGGTGAGCGACGAATCTTAACGGTTCTGCTGATTGTACTTTAACATCACAAATACTTTCAATCACTTGCACTGTTATTATCCAGGCATCAACACGATTTAGAAAACTCCTCAACTGAGTTGGATTTTTTTGGTGCGATTCATTACTCTGGTAGCTTAACATGTATGAGAGAGAGGAAAGACATTAAAGAAAGACTATACAAAGCATAAAATGTCAGCGCTTGCGAAAAATATGCAATTAAAGATCCTGTCTTTAGAGTTTTCCTGATAATTGTTTAGTCAAATTGTATTTCCAGAAGTTTTTGGTCCTTCACAGCATCCCAGAATTAATTGGAGTCAGCAAGCTGAACTAACGCGAGGTGAAGAGTCGCAGTCAAATCGCTCTGAAGTTGATTTGAGGAAAATGCATCTTGAGCTCACTCTTCCCTGTAAATAGTGCTGTCGCGTCTCTAAGGAGCGACGATCATCATAGTTTTCATTGGTAGGCAAAAAATAAGAATTGTAAATTCAGATTGAGAATGTTCTCAAACCCAAAACAATCTGACAATTTAATGGGGATTGTTACTTTTACAGCTTACGCATTTTTTTTAAGGAATAGGTACAAAATGCACAACATAATGAAATGTATAACTGAATTCAGTTATTGTGTGCCGATGTAGCACTTCTCTATATCGGTGATGTAGTCGAGTCGCTTGTTTTAAAGGGTTTAATTTTTCAAGCAGCATCTGTGCTTATTGGACTCCATCTCTGCAGATGCAGATATATTGCAAAGAACCTGGGATATATATATATATATATATATATATAAACAGTTTTTGCCATTTCTATTGAATAACGAAACTATCGTGACATCCATGCCCAGATTCTCATGAACGGATGTCTGTGCCAGGTGTGTAAGGGGTCAGTGAGGCTCTGCATTTGATGAACCAGAAATTGTTTTGGGGAAAACTGTACATTTTCTCAGGGAATAACTCCTCTGATTGCTCTGCTTTTATGTTTTCGTAGCTATTGCATCTAAATGCATAATACAGTAACAGAATAATCATACGTGACATTGTATTTACAATCCTGAAGCTGAAAGAATTGCGCTGACGTCACGTGTTGTGTAATTATTCTCAAGTTCAGGAAGAACTGATTAAAAAATGGTGCGTAATAATGATTGGGAGTAGAGCTTTCTGAAAATAAATTACTTTGAAATGATGTTTCCATGTACAGAAAAGATTAGACTCTGCAGAATATTAGTCATGGTGATTTTTTTATTTTTTCTGCTGATCCCCATTTTGTTTGTGCTGGGCCAGTAAATGGTGACTAATGCTTTTCAACGGAAACTTGGACAATTTAGCGTGTTTTTCCGCTAAATACAACTTGTGGAAATGAAATATGAGCACGCTGAGGAAAACAACGTGTTGCATCACACACCATATGTCAACAGACGTTCCAAGGAATTTGGGTCTGTTTTTACTCTGTTTTAGGCGCCTCCTTTGGGTTGCGCTGATTGCGTTCGTAGTTTTAGTTTTGGTCCAGCAGTGTTTAGATGTACGGTGCTTTTCAAAATGTTTTACCCTACAACTACCATTGTACAGGGATTTTACCGTTGCTGAACAACAAAGTAGAAAAAGGAACATAATGCAATACATGCGTTTAGCATTCTTGCAACCCCCTCTACTCTCGTACCCCTAAATAAATTCCAGTGCAAGAAACTGCAACATTAAAAATCTACCAAAGGCATGGTTGTCCATGTGAATCCGACAGAACAGGCAAGCGGCGCATTAATCCGTGAAGAAAGCCATTTCTAAAAGTGGGATGTAAGGAGCCGTGTTTTCATTTTGGCAGTTTGCTAAGCGAACGCTGTACATCGATCTGAACACAACATCCTCACTACGAAATATGGAGGTGACGGCATCACATTGTGGGGATGGTTTTCTTCAATATTTATTAGGAAGTCTTGAGTTTTGAGCCATATTACAAAAAAAAATAAATAAAATGTCTATGTTTGGATGTGCAAAGCCGGTAGAGAAATACCTTAGCAATTGCAGCAAAAGGTGGTTCTGCCAATTGTGTTTGTGAAAAGTTTTGAAAACTATTCCAAACCCTCCATTTATTAATTTATACGTGTTAAATTTGTAATTTGAGGAAAGAGTTTAAGCGATGTGAATACCTTTTGAGAAAAACTCTTAACATCAACAGCTTGTCGATGTTAACAATACTTAGTTGTGGTGAATGCAAAATCATTTCTACATCAGATAACAAGCCCTGTTTTATTTGGCTTTAAAACATGTTCTTTATTTTTGATTTTATATATATATATATATATATATATATATATATATATATATATATAATGTAGTATGTATGTAAAAAAAATATATAGAAGCTTTCTTTGCCAGATGTAGTTCCTAATTTTGGCAATATCTTTGCAATTTAGTTGCATTGACTCCACTTCATAAATTGCTTAGCGCAGCATGTTTATGGTAATTACTCTGTTTTTCTTCTTTCCGTCTCCTCAGATCATGATTCAGAGGGGAAACGTGTTCAAGACATGCTGTCTACAATCGACAAACCACAGGTTGGCATGAATACGGCTTTAAAATCCTGCACACTGTTGCACACGGAAGCAGACATGTAACCACTTTCATCAATCACCTCCTTGTCTGATGCAGCCATCTCTAGCACTAATGTCTTTTCAGTGTGTGCATCTCCTCACTGGGATGCATGTGAAAACTAAACGCCATACTGACGATATTGGCAGCGGTGACTTGTAGCAGTTTCTGCCACAGCAAGTGATATGAGCTGTTCTAACCGTGGCCACACGAGGGCAGCACCTTCCCATCCATGCCGCTGAGTTTTTATTGCAGCTTTATTGGCTCAAGAGACACTGAAGACTGAAGGGTCTGGGTTTTTTTTGGTGCCTCAGGGGAGTTTCAGATGAGTATGTTGTGTAGGCACAGTTTGGGATAGAAAAAAACCCCCCTGCGTACTCATTTGAGAGTTTGAGCAGCAGGCTGTGCAACTGGGTCATTTAACATTGTCAGTTTATGACAGGAGTGTTGTAAACCAGTGGGATATATTTATGACATACTGTGAAATGTAGTAAAAATGGTAATAGAGTTAAATGAGAGAGATTTAGGATTGAGATGCTGTTGACGCCACCGTTTCTCCTCGGATGCCACCTGCAGCTCATCATTCTCAGACTGTGAGTTTACAAGAGAAGTAAACGGGATTTTCTATTAAACTCTAGCAGTTTAGTTTTTCTCCCTCACATTCACTTCTAGTTCCTATACCGATTTGACAATACTTACTTTTTTTTTTTTTTTTTTAATTTAATGGTCACATTTACTAGTGTACAATATGACCATTGACACATTCACACTGGGACATCCAATCTTTCTCTTTTGTGGACTCCAAAAACTATGGAAGCTGAATTGGGTTTTGCTGACAAGTCAGTCTACAGTAGGAACCATTAGAGTGAAAAAGACTCAAAAGTGAGCTGCTTTCAGTGAAGCTGAGGCTTAAAAAAAAAAGGCAGTGAGAGGAAATCTACATTAAAAAAATATACATTTCACAGAAGTTTTTTTTTTTTATGCTACGAATTTTTAACAAACGTCATATTGTTTGCTGAAGGTGTCTAACATCCAGGCGCGGGCTGCTCGGCTGTCCTGGGGCCTTCCAGGTGGGCTGGTAAACAGGCACAGTAACGGGATGCCCGTCTCCTGCTCCTACGAGGTTTCTCTCTCAGACAAAGGAAAGGACGGAAAATATCGCCTTATATACAGGTAGTCCACTAACCCAATGCTAAAGCGATCCAGGACATGTGCTTCTTGCGCGGCACGTCTATGGTATTGATGCGACGTTTCTCATTTGTAAAAAATTTCAGCGGAGAAGAGTTGGAATATCATCTGAAAGACCTAAGGCCAGCGACAGACTACCACGTACGGTAAGGACTCCAGCTGTGCGTCAACATAGTCGGCTGCATGCCATGGTTAACTCTCGCTCTAAGCTTTGGTGCATCTTGTTGCTTTTAGGGTTTCAGCGTTGTACAACTCGGTTCGAGGCTCGTGTTCAGAGGCCGGCTCGTTCACCACACACTGCAGCGTCCCTGATGTCCCGCTACCCCCGAAGCTCTCTCACCGCACAAAGACCAGCCTCAGTCTACAGTGGAAGGTACGGCAGAATGTCGCGCATGCCAACGCAAGAGCTTGTGTGCTCTTTCACTTTTACAGAAACACAATTACAAATGTGTCCTCCTCAGATTTTAGTTGTTGCACCAACACAAAGTCCCACACGTATGAGATGGAACGGAAATGAAATATGGTTCCAAGAAATCCATCCATGTTTGCAGTTTTTCCCTGCATTGACTGAGACCAGCAGCTGTTGTGTCATGTCACCTGCTGTCCTGATTAGCACTTTTCTTGACCAGCTCATCAGTTTAGGTGGACAGCTGTGCAGCGGAAGAGTTTTGTTGGCTGCATTAGATTTTATTTAGTGGTGCCAGAATCAAGCGAGAGGAATGGATAATGTAGGATAACATGTGTTGGTCCGTCATTAAACCCAGATCAAATATGTCAGAGTGGCACAAATACATTTTACGAAACACTGAATTTTACTGGTTTGCATATTGGGGTCAACTCTTCTTTTAAAAGTTGTTCACTTTTAAAACTCTTAACACATTTTTATTCGTTGGCCTTGAACACGCTTTGAGACTTTTGCTCTTATTTCAGTTTTATTGATTTTATTGTTTTTTTTCCCTTTAGTTCTTTCCATATTTTGAATGTTCACTGATTTTACCTGTACAGCAATTTGTCACAGACTTGTTGTAGTAATTGGTACTTCATGTCATTCCTTTTGTCCATAGATATGATGTTCCATATAAATCTTTCATTTTTAGAGGAAGAAATGTGTAGGAACCCTGAGTAAACCAGTCTTTTCTCCACATGGTAAAAAAGAAACGGTTTTCAGTAAAGAGACATTTTCTTTTACTTCTAATCGTTTATGTTCCAGCTAGTTTTTATTAGCCCCCATAGCCATTAATAGCCACCTTCGCCTGCGTCTTCACTGACCCCCGCGCCCCCCGCCGAGGTAGTTTTTACGCCCCTCTCCCTGTCACTGATGAACGGTGCCATCAATCACCCAGACAGGATGTAAGGTCAATCACAAAACCACGGCAGGTATCCTATGGGCCTCGTTGTCAGGGTCTTTCATCCTGGGATAAGCTCTCATTCTCTCTTTTCTCTCGTCTCCGTCTCTTTGTCATCCACAGCCTCCAGGCGACAACGGATCCAAGATCACAAACTACCTGCTCGAGTGGGATGAGGTTGGTCTGTCCTTACTTTTACCATTAAAAACAAAAGAATTAAACGGGTATATATATGAACACATTTCTTGTAAGAGTATTGAAGAGTTCAGGACTGTAGAGTCATTACTCGATCAATACTCCATGTGTCGTCCTGTGTTTCGTCTTTGTCTTTCCAGTTATTTTTCTATTTATCATTTCGTATGTGACCGTTTTTGTCCTCTGCAGGGAAAGAAGAACAGTGTTTTCAGAGACTGTTACTTTGGGAACCAGAGACACTGTAAGCTGACACGGCTGCAGCCCGCCTGTGGCTACACGTTCAGACTGGCTGCAAATAACGACATCGGCACAAGGTACTGCATCCCGTCGCCGAATATACAGATAATCCTTATTCTGTAAATACGCTGGCAAGCAAGTTAATGTTCATGTACAGTCAATGCATTATTGAAGACCAGGCATCTTCACCTGCATCCTGCATTTTGTTTCGCTTCAGGGTTTAAAAAAAAAGAAAAGAAAAGAAAAATCCCCATTTCTGCATCTCGTTCTGTTTGCATCGGCTTTTTAAGTAACAAAAACAAACAAAAGATAAACAACCAGAGATGTGTTTCTTGTTTTGTGTGTGCAGTGGCTTCAGTACAGAGGTGGTGTTCTACACCACGGGCACGCAGCCCCCTCTGCCCCTCGCGCCGCGGCTGGTCAGGGCGGGGGTGTCCTGGGTGAACCTGGAGTGGGTGCGTCCCGAGGGCAGCTCCACCGAGGAGCAGCTCAAATACACACTCGAGATCCAGGAGGACAACAGCGTGAGTGGCAAAAACGAAAAGATGGGGGGGGGGGAACCCAAACGCAATGAAAACCTCAATCTTTCTTTTAGCAAACAGAAAAGCTGTTTAAGTTTTCATCTTTTTATATTGAATTGTTCCAAGTCTCATTTGCGTCTGTATGCATGTTATATTTTTAGATTTTTTTTTTTTTTTTTTTTAAAATATTGTTTTTTAAAAAGCTTTAACAAAAATATTAAAAACACACAAAGATCTTATATTTTCTCTTCTTCTCTGACTTGCACACGTTAAATAATAATCAAACTTTATTTGTTGCATTTATCATACGGTCATTCTAATATTACTAAAATATAAAACACGCACAAAAAATATTCTGTGTTTTTCCCCCACAGGGAACAGATTTTTATCCAAAGTACACTGGAGAAAACTTGACCTGTACTGTACAAGGCCTGAAGAGAAGCACACAGTATAAATTCAGGGTAAGTGAAAACACAACAAAAATGTGTGCATCTGTTATGTTTGTTTGTTTGTTTCATTTCACCATCCAATTCTGGTAATGTTCAGTTGTTGGTGAGTAAAGAAGAAACTGTTTATTGGATGTGTTCACATAAGTAGTGCGTTTGTACAAACAGGCAATTTCCTCCACAAATGGATAAAGTGCTAAAATAGCTTTAAAATGCTTTACTTATTTGCTAAAGTATAACATTTTAAAAGATGCTGACATTTGTTTTTTAACTGTGATTTTTAGATGAACTGTTTTGAACCGTGATTCTGAATCTGAGGTACAAGTAAGAGGAAACCTGGGTTACTTTTATAGCTACTTATAAGAAATCTTGTAATAAATTACTGTAAAGCAAGTGGGGGAAATATGTAATTTGCAAATTTCATATGCAAAGGTTATGAGTTTCAAGCAGGTGCTTCTTTGTCTTACAGTACTCAGTCTTACATTAACATGACATTGATGTCAACTGCGATTGTATTTAAGCTTCTGACTGCATTGCAACAATTCTGCCTCCTTTTCCAATTAGAGTAAAAAGATGCTCCAAACAAACCCTAACCCACCCAATTGTCGCTCACTCAACATCCATCAATCCAAAACGGCGTGTGGCGTTTCGCCGCTAGAAATTGCCTGCTGTTTACGAAGGGGAAACGAGACAATCCAGCAGCTATCTATCTATCTATCAAGTTCCCTAAAAGCCACGATGAAAACTGTCCATAATGTGGGGACACTGTGAAACATAATGTACCAGCGGTTCGTCCCTGTAAGTGCACTTGCATGTCCTTTATGGTGCAATCATCTCCAATAACACTCCCAAATGTGCTTTCATGCAGACGGGTAGATAAGGCTTCTGATGTCTGAGGACATGGTGACACGTGGTCATGTGCAAAGAGGCGATTCGGGGCTCTTTTGCACGCATCCCCCCCCCCTCCCACCCCCGCAGTACTTCTCATCCAGTGTGAATGTATGGGGAATGAAAGAAATTGATTGTCAAATTGGAAGGGCTGGTTCAAGGGAGTACAGCAAGAAGATAAAAGCAAGAGAAGAGCAGGAAAAAAGGAGCAGATTGTAATGGCAGCTATTTTTCCAGAGGAGTCTCTTTCCCTTTCGATAAGATTCCTCCCTTCGTTTACCCCCTCGACTTGCTTTCTTTGTTCGCCGTCCTTATTTTCATTGTCTAATCGCTTGTTGCCAGGCTTCTCCCCGCCTTGTTTTTTTTAACTTTCCGTTCTCTCCGTTGTGCAGCTGATTGCGTCAAACGTGGAAGGAAAAAGCAGCCCCAGTGAAGTGTTGGTTTGCACCACCAATCCAGACAAGCCCGGCCCTCCGTCGACACCCAGGGTCACCGGAGTGACGCCTCATGGCTTCACCGTCACATGGGGTAATTGTTGGACCCGTTCAAATATTCAAACACGTACTTATACCGTTAGATGGGCATATTGATGTATGTGAACTGCATGGGTCCAATAGAAATTGCATTTATGAGCCATTCTCGTCTCTAATGTGTTTTGTGGCTCACAAAACAAAGCGGATAAATGATATTTCTCATGACATATCTTTGATTTTGTCTTGTATTGAATGCAATCTGATCCAGTGGATTCCATGATGACTAAAACCTATTTATTATTAATTCCTCCTACAGATCCACCCCTGGACAACGGGGGCTCAGAGGCCCTCACTTACCTCCTCGAGATTTCTGAAGGATGCTCCGAAGGTACGTGTAACGCGCAAGACAAACTGCTGTTTATTTTTTGAACATTTTCTAAAACTATGCATCTGTATGCATTATTCACTTTATAAAATTAGACTTTTTTTGTTCTACCCACAATGCAGTGTTTGTCTGTACGGCAGGAGTTGAGCAATCCTCCAGGTTAAGTCAGTCTGAACTTTAAGGAAGTCAATAGATTATGACATGCATAAAGTTATTATTTCCATTTAAGTGGAACGTTGGATGAAAACCGTACATTTTTGAAGTTGCAAAGAATGAAATGAGTTTTAAACGGAGGCAGATGCTGAGAATCCATTACTTGAATAATTAAGAGAAAACTGCCCAGTAAACATGCGACTGCTGCCTCCAGTTAATATGTGAAAAAATATTTAATTAGCTCAGTTTACATGAAAGATGTTATGCGTTTCAATACTTTATTTTTTATTTTTTTAAAGTTCTGCCTTCCACAGACATTTCACGGCACGCACTTCCCATTAACAATTTAAAAATCGACACGCAAAAAAAGAAAATGTTGTGTAGGCATAAACGGGATAATGTGACATCGGGACAATATCTGCAGTCTGACTACAAAGACGGGTACAAAACAGCAGGGGATTAATTGTGTGCAATCTTCTGCATGAATGTGACAAGTGTTGTAATTGTGTGTTCTGCGCTGTGTGTGTGTCTGTGTGTGTGTGTGTGTTCGATGCTGAGCAGCGAGCCAGTGGGAGGTGGCGTACAGCGGCCCCGCGACAGAATGCGTGTGTGAGCGGCTGACACCGGGAACCGTTTACTGCCTACGTGTATGTAGCATCACCACGGGAGGACACAGCCCGGTAAGACACACACACACACACGCTTCACTGCAGTGACTGATCAACTTTGGATTGTCATGGTCACAAACACAATTGAGGCCCAAGTCTATAAAATCCAGGGTCCACGTTGGCTAAAAATGAACTTTTTGTTGTTTTTTGGAAATGTGCTGACATACTTACAAGCAATCCTTTCACATCCCTGTCTTAGCGGTAAAATCGGACATTCCTCATATATTAATTTCTTCATTTTTTTTTTTTTTTTTTTTCTTTGACAGTGCACTGTTTGTGTTCCGGTCCGTACATCAAGTGTCCCACCAGGACCCTGTCAGCCGCCGCGGATCGTTGGGAAAGCCAAACACAAGGAGGTCCAGTTAGAATGGGGTGAGTCCAGACGGACACGTATACGCGGCGTTTAGCTTTATTTACGCTTTTCGCAAAAAGCAATAAAATTGCCTCCTGGCTGCCAAATGCGTTCTGCTGGCCAGCTCTAATATGAACAAAGTCAACCCCTTTTTAGCCTAATCGAGCTCCTATTTTGCCCATTAAATGCCTAACCCTCCCCTCATATCCAGGCCAACTCTCGTAATGCCGGCCAATTATTGCAAATTAGCGCCGTTATCTGTTGGCAGCCAAAGAGGCTTTGCAGCGTGCAGTGCTGAGGAAGTTCTTACTTTAACCAGTCTGATACAGCTGGTCACATCGCTAATCAGTTCAGATGCAGGCAGTGCTGCTGCAATTACTGGTTGAGCTGAAGGTCGGAAATAATGCGTCGGAGGGTATCCCCCTGATGCCTGGACGTTGGCCGCTTTCATCCCTCTGCAAGCAAACTGAAGCAGATGGCGCCTGGGGAAAAAAAAAACCAAAAAAAAAAAAACTGCTGATCACTCAGCTACACCGATGCAATCATAATCTTAAATGACCCAATGAGTGTTCAATTAAAACCCTGAACATGCTACAGTACGGCGCTTTGCAGAAGTATCCCCTGAACTTAACAAATTTTCAGAATGCTACCACAAACTTGCATGAAGTTAAGTGGCGAGGATACATGGTTTGCAAATGTTTGTTAGAAATTCGAATTGCTTCTTTTACTTAAAAGAAAATCCAAAGCAGTCACAATATTTTCTGGACTGCAAATCTCTCTGGAATATAAGTCCCACCAGTCCAAAAAATGCATAGATTTTTATCTTTTCAAACATTTTCTGTCCAGGCTTATTTTGCAAAAACGGAAAATAAATTTGGTCACAATACGTGTGCAGGACTTGTTCACACCAAAAAGTCTTGCACCTGTAACCGTGGCGAAAAGTGACTGAATATAAATACTAAACATTGGAGGCTAAATATAAATCTGTGTCATACGTTTCAGATTTTCATTTGTATATTAAGTTTTTAAGCCTTTTTCTTTAAAGTTTGTGATTTTAAATTGACAAGAGGGGAAGTATGTTCAAGGGGTTACAAATGCTCTTGCAAGGCACAATGCATGTACTTCAAGGATTACTTAAAATTGATTCAATTTGATCATACATATTTAAAAATGCTGCTTTTGTCTCCGATTCATCCTGTGATACGATTCTAGATTCCCCTGCCTGTGAGGGAGTGTGTGAAGAGTGTGTGTACAGCCTGGAGATGAGTGAGGGAGAAGCGAAGCCAGCAGAAGTGTACCACGGCCCGGAGCTGCAGTGCACGGTTGCTAGTTTGCTTCCTGGTGCGACGTACAGCTTCCGGCTAAGGGCAACCAACGAGGCCGGGGTGAGAAACTCGCTTGCTTATTGCTTATGTTGGCAGCAGCATAAGCAATGACATAGTACACATTACATTTCTGTGAAACGGGAACCTCAAAGGCAGTTTTTTTTTAATGCATTTTATGGCTCTTTTTCTTATCTCCACTCAGTCTATTCAGCACATTGGATCAATAGTAGCTTATAAATTGATAAGGAAACATGCCTGAGAAGCAGGGTTTCATGTAATTCGGTCCTACTTTCCTAGACTGACTACCCAGTGTTGCTCTTGGAAGCTTATCTGTTCCACAGGGCGACTATAAGACCTGATTGATCATCTATTGACTCAAAGGTTGAATTAGTTCTGTTATCTGCAGCCTTTGCAATCTTACAAGCCATTTTTTGTCTTCAGTCCAGCTAAATAACACTTGTTTAGAGTTGCATATGTTACATGACCTTTGATTCTTTGCACGTTTTAGCCAAAATTATTAAGAGCTGTTGCAGAAAGTTGAAGTTGCAGGCCTTTGGACAAATGCATCAAAACACGTTAACGGATAAAAAGACCAGCATGCATGTGCTGCTTGCATACTTGAAGTGAACTGTGAGCCTTTTGTCAAACTTGTGTTACATCAGTTTCAAAAATGTTCACTGTAGCAGTGTGTAAATGACAAAAAATGTTAGATATTTGAAATGGCAAACATTTTAGTCTTGTGATCCAAAATGGGGGGGAAAAAATTGAAAAACAATAATTGATTGTAAATTCGAAAAATATCTTAATTTTTTTTGTTGGTGTGTCTTTTAGTTTGGGCCATATTCTGAGCCGACAGAGGTGACGACCGCAGCTGGACCTCCTGGCCAGTGTGGGGCGCCGCTCATCACGCTCACAAGTAACACCTGCGTGACGCTCAACTGGGAGGTGAGGAAAATGCAGTCACAGAGCTTAACATGCTAAGAAGAACCAACCAGAAGATTGATAAATATATATCAGCTAAAGTGATGTATGCAGAATTCTCCTTTTACTTTGACTTTCAGCCGTTTTTATTGATTCTTCTCAAGAATGCAGCAAATGTATCAGAAGCAGCCAAGTATGAAATTGCAACAAGGATTACCCAGCAGTGCTTCCATCATAATCAGCCTTTTTTTTTTCTCACCTCAAAGACACAAAATAGATGGAGAGAGTGTGGATTAGTAGGTCAGTAGCATTAGCTGAGCTCAGAGTAGGAGGGACGAAATGCAAACCCAACAGGATCTGCTTGCATGTTTATGGTAATATAAATCAAAACTCAAATTAACTTTTTAAAAATGTCTATTATGTGTTCAGATATCAAATATATATTTAGTGTTAAGTTAATATTAATGTATTGATATTATCTCACCGTGTCCATAACCTGATCCATTTTATTTTACCAAAGCAAAATATATTGGGAATATCAACAGACAAAACAAATTTTGACAGCTTTGATGCATTGATCCATACAAAACTAAAGTAACTTTGGCTCCAGCACACAACAAATGTGGAATCCCAAATAGGGCTCTTTTAATTGTTCAGATTTGCCACTTATTAGTTTCACTTCCTGGAACCTTTTACAGGCTGTGAATAAATTTCGGCAGGCATTATTTTAAATAGTCTTGAAGTGTTGCATTTAATATAATAAAAATTTACACTGTGACATTATTATGCTGTTTTATTCCAGACAAAATTAATAACCGCAAACTCTCTTCTGAGTACCAGGAGAAGAAATGACAAAAAGCTGTTAAATAAAAGCCACAAAAGGTCATTGCTTACTAAACTGTTTCTGAGTGCTCTCCGAGAGCCTTTTCATACAACATTTTATATTCTTGTAATGTAATATTCAAATATTTTTTGAAAACAAAATGTTTTTGGTGTTCATAAGTTGTAAGTGGTGACTGTCAATTTTAAGTCACCATTGTCAATTCTGTTGGAAATGACAGAAATAATGGAAAATGTGTTATTGGACTTAAATATAATGAAGTTATACAATATCCAATTTTGAATTACTGGAAAAAATAAAATAAAAATAAAACTTTGCAGTTTAATTTATTTATTCAGCGAATGCAAAATGTACTTCCTGGGCTCAGAAAACGCACTCCGTTTTTATTGGAAATAACTAATCTTGTCCCTCACATCCATCGATGCTTATAAACAAAAGGTTAATTCGACTTGAAAAACAACACCACTCATACCAGGCGTCAGATCCGAATAGGTTAATGTCAGGTTTCCAGAGGTTCCGTGAGCTGAACGCGTGTTTCTGTGTGCTGCAGAGCCCCGAGGGCTCGGGGACGGACATCTCGGAGTATCGACTGGAGTGGGCGAAGGAGGACGAACCCTGGGAGCTCATTTACTGTGGCTCCGCCACACAGTGCGAACTGTCAGACCTGACGCCCGCTACGGATTACTGCTGCAGGCTACAGGTAACGGAAAGCGAAAGCTGCGCTTGCATAGTAGATCTGTGGACACGACAGAAACACAAAGAGGCAAAGGCTGAGATCAAAGAGGGGAGCCGCGCGGAGGCGTCGTCTGGACGTAATTGCAGAAACCTGCACAGCATGAAAAACCCTGAAGGAGCTTCAAAAGCGTAAACACAAAATGGAGACAGGAGACCAGGGATGATGGCCGATTCAATTTGTGCTGCAATTCTTAATCTGGTGCATAAATAACCACAGTGTGTTTAGTCCTTTATATTCTGTGAGTGTGCATTTATCTGACAAGCTCACACGCGCATACGCACGCACCTATACAGGCCTATGCAGCTTTGAATCCAATAATGGCATGTTTTATGGCTCCCTTCTTTATTGGCTCATTTATAACACTGGGACATCACAAGGTCAGCTGGCAGTCAGCATCACTGCCCGTGTGCTCATGTGATGTCGTAGTGAGTTTCTGTGCATTACAGTATGTGCTTTGCGCCAGCTTGTTCCACTTTTTGGTTTCTCAAGATAACGTGCAAGAAAGATTCATGACGGACTCTAAACTCGGTTGATCTTACACGGAACATGGCGTTCTGTCTTTAAGTGAGCAATAACCTCAGGCCTTTTTGACGCCGACTGTAAAGGAACAGCCTGCAAAAATGAGTAGCATCTTACTCCTTTAAAGTCTCTCCTTTTCCTATTTGACACTTAAATTGACTTACTGGTTTTCAGCTAAGTTATGGAGGGGAAACTCAGTTTTTCCAAGTTTTTCACGTTACCTTTTAACCCGTTATGTAGCATAAAATGCTTCACCCTCCCCCCCCTCCCCCCATTTTGTTTTGAAACAAAAATCTGGAAAAAAATGTAATGTGCACTTCCATCAGTTCCCAAAAACACCAAAACGTTCAGCTTTGGACTCATTTGACCCTTATGTGGATTGTTACAAACTTTACAATACTTCTCATCTTTCTCCTGAAAACTTCTGTTTTCTAGTTGTTGTTTTTGCAGATTTCTTTTTTTGTCTGTTAAAAAATAATAATAAAAAAAACATTTATGCATTTCCTTCCACTTCACAAATGCACCTCTTTCTAGTGCTCTACCACATACTATCTCAATATAGCACATTGTCATGGGAAAAGCACGAGAGCTACGTATGCAATCTTTAACTCGGCTTTAACGACTTTCCTCATCAATAACGGAGTCGCACCATCCCATCTCTCACTCCCAGATATTCCCTTTATGCGGTTCGTCTCTCTCATCTTCCTGTGCTTCTGCGCTTTGCTCAGGCGGTGAACCAGGCTGGCGCAGGTCCATACAGCGAGAGGGCGACTCTCCGGACCCCGGCGACGCATCCCGACCAGGTCTCCACCCTCACTCTCCTGGACCTCCCGACATCCTCCGAGGCGGGTTGCTCCTCATCCACTTGCCTCCTCCTGAAGTGGGAGACGCCAAGCAGCAACGGTTCGGAGATCTCCTCCTACATCATCTCTGTCGACGACCAAACCGTCACCGTGGAATCGGGGACGAGTCACCTCGTCACGGGCCTGCAGCCAGACACCGAGTACAGGTAACCGTTCGCTCCGGACGTTATGCTGCAGAGTCCTGATCTCGAGTCGAATCGGCACATTCAGGAGTTGCTTGAAAGTTTGTCATGAATTTTAAACTTAAAAAAATAAATATTGTTTTTAGTCTTATATTTTTTATTTTGGTGTGTACAGATGTGATTAACCCCAACATAATCCTGGCTACTACAGATTTTTTTTATTTTTGGAAATGTGGAAAAACTCAACGATGCCACTTAAATCACACAAATGCACTACTGCATCTGCTAAATTTCCACATCGCTTCTCAGATATTGCAGCAATGATGCAGTAGTGGCTTTATGTAATCTCATGCTGTGCTATGTGGACACTCTGTCTGTGCCAATGAATATCCAGTGTCGTTCACTAGTGATGTCGCTCCAGAAAGGAGAATCCAATCCGTCTCCTAATTAAATTAAGCTAATATTTATTTGGAGGCACTTGCAGCAAAGAGCACTTCCCTTTCATTCCCAGATGGCCAGGCAACCAAAGCGTTTATTACACGCTCTGAACAAAAGGCACGAGAAGTGACTTGCATACCTCGGATATGTGACGATGACTTGGCGTTTCACAAAAACGGATGTACCTAAAATGCATCATTAGATGCGCTGAAATTCATTTCAAGATCAGAAACGGNATGTGGAATCCCAAATAGGGCTCTTTTAATTGTTCAGATTTGCCACTTATTAGTTTCACTTCCTGGAACCTTTTACAGGCTGTGAATAAATTTCGGCAGGCATTATTTTAAATAGTCTTGAAGTGTTGCATTTAATATAATAAAAATTTACACTGTGACATTATTATGCTGTTTTATTCCAGACAAAATTAATAACCGCAAACTCTCTTCTGAGTACCAGGAGAAGAAATGACAAAAAGCTGTTAAATAAAAGCCACAAAAGGTCATTGCTTACTAAACTGTTTCTGAGTGCTCTCCGAGAGCCTTTTCATACAACATTTTATATTCTTGTAATGTAATATTCAAATATTTTTTGAAAACAAAATGTTTTTGGTGTTCATAAGTTGTAAGTGGTGACTGTCAATTTTAAGTCACCATTGTCAATTCTGTTGGAAATGACAGAAATAATGGAAAATGTGTTATTGGACTTAAATATAATGAAGTTATACAATATCCAATTTTGAATTACTGGAAAAAATAAAATAAAAATAAAACTTTGCAGTTTAATTTATTTATTCAGCGAATGCAAAATGTACTTCCTGGGCTCAGAAAACGCACTCCGTTTTTATTGGAAATAACTAATCTTGTCCCTCACATCCATCGATGCTTATAAACAAAAGGTTAATTCGACTTGAAAAACAACACCACTCATACCAGGCGTCAGATCCGAATAGGTTAATGTCAGGTTTCCAGAGGTTCCGTGAGCTGAACGCGTGTTTCTGTGTGCTGCAGAGCCCCGAGGGCTCGGGGACGGACATCTCGGAGTATCGACTGGAGTGGGCGAAGGAGGACGAACCCTGGGAGCTCATTTACTGTGGCTCCGCCACACAGTGCGAACTGTCAGACCTGACGCCCGCTACGGATTACTGCTGCAGGCTACAGGTAACGGAAAGCGAAAGCTGCGCTTGCATAGTAGATCTGTGGACACGACAGAAACACAAAGAGGCAAAGGCTGAGATCAAAGAGGGGAGCCGCGCGGAGGCGTCGTCTGGACGTAATTGCAGAAACCTGCACAGCATGAAAAACCCTGAAGGAGCTTCAAAAGCGTAAACACAAAATGGAGACAGGAGACCAGGGATGATGGCCGATTCAATTTGTGCTGCAATTCTTAATCTGGTGCATAAATAACCACAGTGTGTTTAGTCCTTTATATTCTGTGAGTGTGCATTTATCTGACAAGCTCACACGCGCATACGCACGCACCTATACAGGCCTATGCAGCTTTGAATCCAATAATGGCATGTTTTATGGCTCCCTTCTTTATTGGCTCATTTATAACACTGGGACATCACAAGGTCAGCTGGCAGTCAGCATCACTGCCCGTGTGCTCATGTGATGTCGTAGTGAGTTTCTGTGCATTACAGTATGTGCTTTGCGCCAGCTTGTTCCACTTTTTGGTTTCTCAAGATAACGTGCAAGAAAGATTCATGACGGACTCTAAACTCGGTTGATCTTACACGGAACATGGCGTTCTGTCTTTAAGTGAGCAATAACCTCAGGCCTTTTTGACGCCGACTGTAAAGGAACAGCCTGCAAAAATGAGTAGCATCTTACTCCTTTAAAGTCTCTCCTTTTCCTATTTGACACTTAAATTGACTTACTGGTTTTCAGCTAAGTTATGGAGGGGAAACTCAGTTTTTCCAAGTTTTTCACGTTACCTTTTAACCCGTTATGTAGCATAAAATGCTTCACCCTCCCCCCCCTCCCCCCATTTTGTTTTGAAACAAAAATCTGGAAAAAAATGTAATGTGCACTTCCATCAGTTCCCAAAAACACCAAAACGTTCAGCTTTGGACTCATTTGACCCTTATGTGGATTGTTACAAACTTTACAATACTTCTCATCTTTCTCCTGAAAACTTCTGTTTTCTAGTTGTTGTTTTTGCAGATTTCTTTTTTTGTCTGTTAAAAAATAATAATAAAAAAAACATTTATGCATTTCCTTCCACTTCACAAATGCACCTCTTTCTAGTGCTCTACCACATACTATCTCAATATAGCACATTGTCATGGGAAAAGCACGAGAGCTACGTATGCAAACTTTACCTCGCCTTTAACGACTTTCCTCATCAATAACGGAGTCGCACCATCCCATCTCTCACTCCCAGATATTCCCTTTATGCGGTTCGTCTCTCTCATCTTCCTGTGCTTCTGCGCTTTGCTCAGGCGGTGAACCAGGCTGGCGCAGGTCCATACAGCGAGAGGGCGACTCTCCGGACCCCGGCGACGCATCCCGACCAGGTCTCCACCCTCACTCTCCTGGACCTCCCGACATCCTCCGAGGCGGGTTGCTCCTCATCCACTTGCCTCCTCCTGAAGTGGGAGACGCCAAGCAGCAACGGTTCGGAGATCTCCTCCTACATCATCTCTGTCGACGACCAAACCGTCACCGTGGAATCGGGGACGAGTCACCTCGTCACGGGCCTGCAGCCAGACACCGAGTACAGGTAACCGTTCGCTCCGGACGTTATGCTGCAGAGTCCTGATCTCGAGTCGAATCGGCACATTCAGGAGTTGCTTGAAAGTTTGTCATGAATTTTAAACTTAAAAAAATAAATATTGTTTTTAGTCTTATATTTTTTATTTTGGTGTGTACAGATGTGATTAACCCCAACATAATCCTGGCTACTACAGATTTTTTTTATTTTTGGAAATGTGGAAAAACTCAACGATGCCACTTAAATCACACAAATGCACTACTGCATCTGCTAAATTTCCACATCGCTTCTCAGATATTGCAGCAATGATGCAGTAGTGGCTTTATGTAATCTCATGCTGTGCTATGTGGACACTCTGTCTGTGCCAATGAATATCCAGTGTCGTTCACTAGTGATGTCGCTCCAGAAAGGAGAATCCAATCCGTCTCCTAATTAAATTAAGCTAATATTTATTTGGAGGCACTTGCAGCAAAGAGCACTTCCCTTTCATTCCCAGATGGCCAGGCAACCAAAGCGTTTATTACACGCTCTGAACAAAAGGCACGAGAAGTGACTTGCATACCTCGGATATGTGACGATGACTTGGCGTTTCACAAAAACGGATGTACCTAAAATGCATCATTAGATGCGCTGAAATTCATTTCAAGATCAGAAACGGTGTGGAGGGAGCTCTTAGAAATCAAACTGAGCACATCACTCTCTTGCGCCATCAAACGGCGATCTTTGCTTGTGTGAACAGTTATGGCAATCGAGAGACTTGAAGAACAAACTTTCCTTTTTCATGTTTTCATGCAAACACGAGTAACAGGATCTGGTGTGTGGCGATTGTGCAACGCTGCCAGATTGATGCATGAGCATGTCATGAAGCTTGTGGCGGTCTCTTTGGAAGCCCGTCACTTGTTGCAGTACTTTGCATTTGGGTTAACGATTTGTAAACCATCTGCTGTTGGGTTTAATTGGATCCTGTAGAAGGTATTTATAGACAGAATCTGAAAGTTGCCCGTTTGGTATTTTCATGAACTGTGATGCGACACCTCTTGTAACCAAGCAGCAGTAAACAGGTACTTAGTCATCCTTATTGCCAGCCAATGTTGTGATCCTTCTGTGCTCCCCCACTCCCCTCCTGATGTACACATGCAATCAGCCATAACATTATGACCACTGACAAGTAAGACTACTCGTCTCTTCTCAGAAAGTCTGCAACATGGCAGCATTTGTTCCTTACAAAAATAATTTGTTCCTTTTAAAAAGGAGTTTTGTATTTAAAAAAAAAACAAACAAAAAAAATGGCTAAAACCTTCAAAACTCTCTACCCACACAGCTGTTAAAGAATCAGAAAACTCCACAACATCCCCACACTTTAACCTGTCTAAGTAACTTGTTGGAAAGCGTTTGGTAAGATCTAATGACCTGGTCATCATGTGAAAACTGCTGTTTTTGTGTATACACACACACACACACATATAATTGTGGTGGCAGTTCTTAGAATTGTGATTTTAAAACAAAACAAAACAAAAAACTGAGAAATAATGCCACAATGAGGTGGGGAGCAGTGAAGAGGCAGGATAATCACACACCCCACTGTTTTCATTCGGCGGTTGTTTTTGTCCCCATGTACCACTGATCTCTTGCATAAGGGCTGCCGCTGAGCCAGAACACGGCGCGTGTGTTTATTTGAGGGTGAGTGTACCTGCGAGTTGTTTTCTGGAGGCCTACAGATCGCAACGCTTGTTGTTGCAGACACCGAGTGTGTGTAGGTGCTTCATATTTTATTTGCACGGCCTTGCGAAAGCGCCACAATAAGCGCTTTCTCCGACAACACTGGGGGTGACCGTGTTATGGGTTTCTCTCTTCTACCTTTGCCAAACAAACAAGTGCAGATTTCCAGGACGAAGCTCTTCTATCGTTGTGCTTTTTTGTTGCTTTAGCAGAAGGCACTTTTATGATTAGTCGGGTTTTTAGCAGAAAGCAAGCAGAACTGCTTTGATGATTGCATAATTTGCATCGAGAAGGTAATGTGACCGCAGCATTAATGTAATTCATCATGGAGAAAAAAAAAAGAAAAAAAAAACTTTTTCAGTCTTTGACATAAGAGGTTCCTATTTTAATTTCACGCTACATGACATTTTAACACAGCAATTTTTAAAATCCCCACAGCGATTTGAACCAGACAGCAAGTCAAGTCATTTCTCTGCTTATTTTCCATTGTCTTATTGCACTCCCAAGGTCGTTTTCCCAAGGTCATTGTCTGTAAAGAAAGTAACTCATTTGTCAAGGCATGCAATTGTTTGTGCAAAGAGATGTTTTTGTTTCTGAGCAAATTTATTGCAAACGCCTGGTCATTCCTAGTTTTTCTGTACCTCCGACTTAAAGATGCAAACCTCTGAACATCAGCCTGATGATCATGCTTTTGTCCCTGAACATCAGGTCTTAGGTGTTCTCTCGTCGTTTCTCCTCCTTCCTCACAGCCTCTCGTCACAGTTTATCCTTGTGCTTAACAGCCCAGTGAATGAATAAATGTTGCCCTTTTTCCTTCTACTTGACTTGGCTGCAAGAAAAGGTTACTGTTATGAAAAATCAACAGTTAAATGTCAGAACCTATATGCCCTCCAGCAGAGGTGCTAATCAGCTGATCAGACATCGCAGGACGAAGAATGAGGAAACGAGGGGGGATTCTGAGAAGTGAGCCGCAGAGGAGATTGAAGAAGGGAAATCTATTTGTTGGTTCTTTTTAATTAGCTGTGGTTATGTGTGTCTATGCTCTTAGAAGCTATCGAAACAATCTTGAGGATTACATTAGGTTAATTCCCTGTAACATCTAAAATAAAATAAAAAATTGTCCTATTCCTCATGTAACGTATTGCCCATCAGTTTTTTTTTCTTTTGAGGACATTTATAGAAGGAAAGTGGCCAGAAATGGTTGGCACATTTGGGTTTCGTGTTGGAGAGTGCATTAAGTTGTAATAGGGGGCTGATAATGGGCGAAAACCTCTTCACAGAAAATTTACCTCACCATTAGACAAATGGGCCTGCAGCAGCTTTACAGGGTTAGGTTCAATGGTTCATATATTCCCAACGTTTTCATGTGCAACTGCTGTAAGCCTATAGAGACTCAAGACATTTTTGTTTCTAACATTTTAATGTTGTGTTTTTTTTGTTTTTTTTTTAATTGGGGAAGTCCTTATTAGAATATTTCCCCTCAACCCCATTATAAAATCGCTTAATTTCCAGACATTAATTCTAGGCCAATACGGTAAAAATCAGTTTATCAAAACAGTTTATATATACATGGTTACTTGGGAGCTCTACAGTGCAATAAAGCTTCTAAGTAACCATGATTGTACAAATTTAACCAACAACTTGGGTTCTTGTCCTGTTCATGCGGAGCAGGTTCACTGAAATGCTAGGCTAATGTTAGCATCTTTGCTCTCTGTTCTGATGAGACTCGTTGACGACTTGATTCACAACACATTTCCATGAATTTCTAGGCAATTGACAGAAATTTCAACAGCCAATACAGTAAATGTACCATTCATTGATCAACAACATGATGTGCACATAAAAATGGCACATGATGAATAGCCAGTAGTTGGCTGTTGATCACTGATTTAATATTTCACCTCAGATCTGGATGATAATAATAATACTGTATTTATCTTATTGAGTTTCCTGCATGTTGCCTAACAGTAGATTTCCGTTGACTGTTTTTACCGCGCACGATGACGTCTCTCGGCAACTCATCATTATTACCTTTCAGTCTGCAGATTCAAGCGGTGAACGCCATCGGCTTGGGTCCTCTGAGTCCGTTGCTGGTAGCGAGGACCCGTCCCCTTCCTCCGGCCCCGCCCCCACTCGAATGCTCCGCCGCGGGCCCTCAGAGCCTGAAGCTCAAGTGGGGCGAGAATGCCGGACACGCACGCGCCCTGCTCTCTGAAGACGTGGTCTACACACTACAAATGGAAGACAAGAACCACAGGTGAAGTGCACAAACACACAGATTTATACCTTGTTCGAAGTGGTAACTTTTTGCGGTCGGCTAAATCCGCAAATGCATTTGGGAAACTCATCAGTTAAAGGATGCGGGAATCTGGTTGTTTAAGTTCTGTTATTTGCTTTTCTTGTGCTTTGTGAATTACTTGCATTTTTTTTTTTTTTACTGCATTTATATATCATTCATGACAAGCAATTTCAGAGAAATTGATATTTTCCTTGTTTTTTGGCCACACTGCACACACATTTTCTCCTCACCCCTGAGTTATCCAACACAGTAAATCAAGACCTTGGTCAATACAGCAGACAGAATCACAGCTTGAGGAAGCTGAGGGAACATGAGTGGAACACGTGTAGTCTGAGGTACTCGTGCGGGTGTGTGTGTGTGTGTGTGTGACCACTAACTACATGTACTGAAGAGTAATCATGTTGAGGGCATTTGTGACCAGCTGGAAAACAGCCTAAAATAATCAACCCTCCATTTAACCAACTGGCTAGACACTGGTGAGACAGAAAAAAACAAAGAGTGATTATTAGCCCACTGAACAGGAGGAGAGTGTTAGAAGCCTCTACCTCTCAGGATTACCGTGGCTGGCATTGAGTTGGCACCCAGGTGTCTTGGCAACCCTGGAATGGGACAGAAGCAACAGATGGGGACATATAGAACCGGCTGTGATCTGTTCACCTCTGCACGACGCACACTTTTGCATATAAATGACTGAACAAGCAATACAAACATGCACAGTCACATTTGCCGTCTAAATGGAAGCTGCTTACTTTGCCCAGATTGTTCTGTTTACCCTTTTCTGACTATCTTGGTGACTGTGTGTCTGAAAGGGGCGTCAAACCCTGTGTTGAACTCCGTCTGTGTGCATAATTATTTGCGCTGATTAAATGTGCTCCAGCAGGTTATTGGCACACAACATTTGCCGACATAAGGGATTTGCCATTACAAGCAAAACACGAGGCTTATCAGAAAAATTGCACTTTTATCACGTTATTTATGCTAAATTACGCTCAACTCTAGCGTTTAGGTTACTGTCCCAACGTTTTCTAAGACGTCTAAAATAAGTTAAGTGAGAATATATCAATGTTAAAATTACTTTGGAATACATAGTAATGTATTCTGAACCTTTTCTGGCATAAGTTTTGCAGCATATGTTTTTTTCCTTTCACGCAACTTTCCACTAAAAGTTGTATGTGAACAGCCGACTCCTTCAACAAAAAGGTTTTGTGGTTTTCTATGCGAGAAGTGATAACAGCCTTTAATCATGTGCTCTATTGCATTTTATATATATATATATTTCTACTTATTAGGGTTTTCAGAAAAACAAAATTATGGGTTTTCTTTAGCTGTAGGCCATGATTACAACAATTAACACAAATGAACACTTTAAGTATTTCGCTTTGTTTGTAATGAATCCAGTTTTGCTTTTGGATCAGAATGACTGAATTAAGTCCTTTGATGATGATCTAATTTGAAATTCATCTGTACGTTAGTATCTAAGAAAGGAATGACCGTAATGGTGCAAAATGTTGAAATCCCAAAGAATATTTCATTAAACCTAATGATAAACGTTTTGATAAATTCACATACATGTGTTCACGGGCCAAAGCATGTTTGTTTTTATTGAGACATAAAATTTAAAAAAAAAAAAAAAAAAAGAGGACACAATAGGCATCCTAAGCTGCTTCCTCCATGTATTTCAGAACTATTGTCCATGAACTGGGAACCAATCGGTCTCTGAATGGAATTTGAGGAGTGCTTGACTGAAATGGGGAGGAATTCAAACTTTCTTTTGAGTCTATTCAGAAAAAAATATTTTTCCCTCCTCTGCAAAAACTAATAGTACAAATGGTACTATTGGACAATTTAAATGACTGTTCTTCCTAGTAGACATTAATAACCCAGAAGGTCAGATCGTATAAATAAATTCTGTGTTCATTTCTTTTGCATTCTTGATGCATCTAAATGTATAAACGCTGTAGGTTCCTTTTTGAAGTTTTTACTCAAACAAGGGCCAGATACACCATGTGATAAAATGTTATTGTAGTCAGCAAAATCTCCCTCCTTCTGCCTTTTGGTCAGCATATCCAGAATCGGTTTAAAATTGGTAAGTAATTGATTGTTTTTTGTTTTTTAACTCTTACATTGTTCGTCAAAAACATAAAGCGAGAGAAAATTTTCTCCTACCCTGCGAATATAGATGAAATATCAACCTGCCTAGAAAATGAGTGCAATTCTTTTTTTATATATAGTATTTGAAGTTTTAAAATTATTTATCAGCCTATATAAAACCTATAATTTTGTGTGAATGACGGGAGATGTTTTTAGGAAATTTTGAATTTGGAGTTGTCAGATTGAGTTGGCTCTTTCACATCTTCATTTGTTCCCTAATCGCATTGCGTCAAAGCGAACCGTCATGATTGTTTTATTCTTTTTAATATTAATAAGGCAAACCGGATGCGAGATTCTCAAAACGACCAAGAAGGTTGTGAAAGCTCAAAAAATGCCGTACTTTGCAAACAAATATCTTGAATATCCACCCACAGTTTCTCCAAATATAATTTGGGATTTTCCATTAATCGTTTTTGACTTTGGCTGCCCTCTGTAATGTCTTTAGTCGTTTCTCTGATCGTCCTCTGATCTAATTCCTGCTTATGAATCTCATTTCATCTGTTAGTATGCTTACAGTATCAGAACCTCGGGAGACATTAGAATCTGTTTTCCTGTCCGTCTCTCAGCATATTTTTCCCTTGTGCATCCAGGCATATTTATTTTTCTTTGACTGTATTAGAGGAGACAAACTAGTTTTGTCATATTCACAATATTTATTTCTTTCCTTTTCTCTTCCTTCCTATTGCCTTTCCAATTCTTTTTCTTGGTTTTTTTTTGTTTTCTGTGTACTTTTATATTTCCTTCCTGCGTCCAGTTAATTCCTCCCATTACTGCATGTTCCCTCATTTTCGCAATTCTGTCGTGTTTTCTCTTCATAAGAGCTTTTTTCTCCGTTCCCATTTTCTATATCTGCGTTGCCCCCAAAGGCCTTCTGTCAGGGACATTACGAGTTGAAAGGATGAGACTTTAATGGGTTGTTGTACAGTTCAGAGGAGGAATAAACCATCCAGCACAAAGGATTCTTAAGAAGAATGCAGGTGGACAAAACACTGCGTCGTCTGCGTTTGACCCGTCCATGTTTTCATCCATCGCCAGGATTTATCTAAAGGTTTCATTGCCTCCGTCTTTCTTCCCTTCAGCCTTTTTGAAGTTTAACCGTTTGTCGCCAATCATCACACTTTCCTGTGCCTGCTGAAAATATCCCAGTGTAATCTCTGTTGCAAATCTTAATTGTAGCTGATGCAATGACAAGCGATTCGTTTTGGCTGGATTTAATCGCAAAATATACCTAAAGTATTGATGATGCCTGCAGTGGACCGTTTTGCTTTATAAAAACTAGGTTTGTTTTTGACCCTTATCATTTTTCTGGCTTTTTTTTTTTTTTTTTTTTAATGGAGACGATGACAACTTTTGATGATGTAAGGTAGGGAAGCTGTATGTCCAGCTGCTGACTGACAGACTGATGGAGATGGAGGTTTTGGCAGCGCATATTAGATCTGAACCTCAACCTTTTTCTAATGTTCAACCCGTGGCTGACAGGTGGATTATTTAAAGTAATTTAAAAAAGCGCCATGCACACCCACAAGTGAGTGCAATGCCTCCAAGAGGATTATTATTTTCATATCAAAGCAGATTTACTGCTTAACCACCGGTTATTCTAAAGCCAGTTTTATTTGATTTTGTACATGAAAAACTGAGAGTCAAGTCAATAGCTGTCTGATTTGTATCCCTGCAAAAAGTAACTATAACATCACCATATAAATTCATGAACTGAAAAATGAGAGTTTTACATTTCGAAGATGATTTCTAAACGCCACCTGGCGTTGTTGACTGTCGATGTTTAAGATCCGAGTCCAAAGCACAATTTATGGATTCAGAAGAAAATACCGTCTGCAAGCACTGCAGAGGCACGTCGGCTCATTTAAGCTCTGATGTATATAAAAAGAATGGCAGGACAATTTCATTTTATTGTATATTTTTGCACTGGCAATAACATACTTGTGAATTATGAATTAATTTTGAGAAAACAAAATGCGAAAGGCAAACTCATTACAGCCAGAAACGTAGCAGAACAAAACAGATGTTGCTACGACCGCACTTTGGCTCTGGACCAAGGTTGCAGTTAGCTACATTAACTGTGTGCTGGCAAATTGACCGAGTTGGGCTGTGACATTAGTAGCTCTATGTATTAATTGTTTTGACACACTGCCTTTTAGCCTAATGCAATCGACACAAACAGGTCACGGCTCCTGACAGACCAGATGATGCATCCATTTTCTCTATGCGTCTATATTTCCATCTCAAACTCTAATCCGTTTGTGTTGAGTAAGATTTTGGTTTAGGGATCCGGTTCAGCTTTGTGTGCAAGAATTAACGCTACATTATCAGCCTGAGAAAGCAGTACTCCAGCTTTCTGTAGTACAGCTAATAAAGAGCCCATCTCATTTTTTCTCTTGCTGCTTTTTCTTTCATTCAGCTTCACGTCGCCTCTTGAATATCCTTCCTTCATCATTCCTCTCTCACCCTGCCACATCCTCTTATTCACACTCCCCTCATGTTACCCATCTTCTTTATGTGTACATCACTCGTCTTTCTCTTCCACTGCTTTTTCTCGCCTTTTTCCTGGAAAAACTGATTGCATCGATAAATATCCCCTTCCCAGCTCATATCCACGTTTTTTTCTTGATTTATAGATTCTCTCCTATATTCCTTCAATCCGTTCAGCTAGACGGCATGAAATATTTCTCTCCGTCTGTTCTTGGTTTTAAAGGCCTAGACGTAAAGTTGTGTGTGTGTGGGGGGGGGTTTAAAACCAAGATGGTGGCTTAAAATGTGTAACAATTGCTTACGATGGAGATTTGTAGAGATTTGCAATTCTCAGAGCTTGAAAGAAACGGGCAATGGCTATTCAGACTGCTAGCAACTACAACTAGCTCTGTGGGACAATTTTCCCACAGAGCTAAACACTGGTTTAGATAGAGAACATATTTGTTTAGGTAGAATATAGCACACCTGTGCTTATCTCAAGTATCTGCTAAGAAGTTTCATGTAAAGCCGACTGTCTTCTATGTTCTCTGTATCGGCCACAGTTGGCTTAAGAAATGTTTTGGAAATGCGTTTTATTTGCTTCGTCTGGCAACTCATTGTCATTTCTCGTCTGCGTGGTTTCCCAGGTTTGTGACAATCTACCACGGTCCCAGCCACACCTACAAAGTCCAACGGCTGATTGAGTCCAGCAGCTACAGCTTCAGAATACAGGCCCTCAGCGACGCCGGGGAGGGTCCTTTCTCCGACACGTATACTTTCTGCACCACCAAGTCTCTACCCCCCGCCATCAAGGGTAAGCTTCTCTCAATCTTCCAATCAAAAGAAGCTACTTGTGTTTCAGCGTCAAATGAGAAAATACCAATAGTTGATAGACGGCACAGTTCATCTATCTGCCAGGCTGCCACTGATTTGTTTTGGAGATTTCAAAATAAAAAATAAAAAATTCACGTCATGAGCATCACAACTCATGATCTTATCTCATGCAATGACGAACAGTCACTCCCCTCAGCATGTCGAATGCTTGAAGTGGATAAAAGTACTTGGAGCATTCAGAATAAAACAGAGACGATAACTTTAACATTGAATATGATCAACCTGCGCTGGTGTACATTATTACCATTTATTTAATTTAAAAAAAAAGACTTTATTGGTTGGTTTTGTTAAAAAAAGACAAACAGCAACAGTATGGATGATTGGAATAATTTGATTTAGTTCTTGTGTTTGTCTTCAAAATAGTCAGAGTGTATGGCCAGACATATCGGCCATGACTTGACCTGAGGTGGCATGAGTAATATAATGATACTCTTATCACAAAAGTGTACAAAACTTTGTGTTGATGTTCACAAAGCACTAGACATTATCAGAGTTTTCACTGCAGTGTGTTAAATGATGATTTTCCCAGAGGAAAAAATAACTTTGTGTTTTGAAGTTTGCCTTAAGAGAACTCGAGGCCGTTTTATTTATTGTAATTTTATTATTTGTTTTGTGTTTTTTTGCAGAGTGACAACTTTGACAGGTATTTTTCCAATTTTCTAAAAACCCTTCACTTTTCCTGTTCCGACAGCCCCCAGGATTCACCAGCTGGAGGGGAACGTATGCGAGGTGACATGGGAGACTGTCCCACCAATGAGAGGAGACCCTGTGAGCTACGTCCTCCAGATGCTGGCGGGGCGCGAGTCTGAATACAAACAGGTTCGTCTCTTTCCCCCACACAAAGACACGCGTGCAGCTTAAAGGGCGAAGCTGGGAGCCGCCGTCTCTCTCCGGTCCAGAGCTTCTCTTTGATTGCTCGATTCTTTCTTACTCCTCCGCAATTGCATAGGGAAAATATTTCTAATCTTCAGTGGGGTTTTTTTTTTTAATTTGGTCTTCCTCGGATGGGAAGGGACACGTTCAGCTGCAAAATTGCACGTGGATAAATAAATATCAACACCTAACGCGCCTTGATAGAAATTTACATATGGGAAGAGAAAGGGGGGGAAAAATATGAATGCTGACACTTTTTATGTTCACTCACTTCCCCTGAGTGATGGCATTTGCTAAGAGATACTGCAGGAATTTCAATGACTTGTGGCAGCTGAAAAAGATTTCGAGTTCCCGTTGAAATGTGACAGCTGTAAAGATGAGCAGAGAAACGGACATTAATATTCCCCCTTGTGTCATCTTCTGTAATTGGATTAGCGAATGGTTGGAGGGAGACGGCCGAGTCTTTCAGACCATGTGGAGCATAAATGGTCTCTGTTTATTTAATTGTGCGAAGAAATCGGACGCATACTGATGGATTTTTTTTATTTTTCCTCACCTGAACGTTTATCCTCCTTGCTGAAGCGTTCGTCTCAGTCGAGCGTTTTACCGTTTAGCGTTTCAACCACAAACTTTCATGCATTGGGATTTTATATAGCAAAGTAATGCATTAATTGTGAGGTCGAAGTAGTAGGATACAATGTTTTCAACATGTTTTACGAACCTCCTTGCCTTTTTGTGTAGCACGTGTCTGTTTTCAGTCAACTTGTGCAACCATCTTTTGCTGCAGTTCCGACCCGCGTACTCTTTTGGCTCAATTTTGTGCATCGATAGACTAACATTTTTAGCTCAAGTCTTGGAAAAAAATGAGGTCTTTGTCATTCTAACACCTAACGCAAACTGTCCCATTGTAGCTCCATTTCATTTCATTTGGCAAAGTTTCATTAAAAGTTTCGACTCTGCATTATTCAGGAAATGATGAACCTTTTAATGCAAAATTTAATTAAAACTTGCATGAAAAGTCAATAAAAAAAAACTGTCAGCTTTGCGTTAAGTGTCATTATTCACCGAATAACACTTCATGACAGTTGTAAGCGTTCACGAAAACTCCTTCATCTTTCTGACAGGTGTTGCGTCATGCTTTATGCACACCCCTTCAACTAAAGCGTCGCCAAAGATTTTTAATTGAAGCATATTCAGAAACCTGCCCACTTCACTACAGCCAATGTCGATTCATATTCTCTTGTTTTCCCCACAGATTTTTAAGGGAGACGAAGGTTCGTTCCAAGTTTCCAGTCTTCAGGCAAACACAGACTATCGTTTCCGCGTCGGCGCCTGCCGCCAGTGCCGGGACTCGCACCAGGAGCTGTGCGGGCCGCTGAGCCCCTCCTCCCTGTTCACGCTGCGCCGCCAGGAGTCGGCGTCGTCAGGAGACCACGGCGCTTTGGAAACGGGCAAGGGGGCGGGCCTGATCTCGAGCGACGAGCGCTTCGCGGCGCTGATCGTGTGCATGTTCGCTGGCCTGTCCATCCTCATCGCCTGCCTGCTACAGTACTTCTTCATGAAGTGAGGGAATTTTTTTTTTTTTAACTATAGGATAGAAAGCGAAATCAAAACAGTAAATCACAGAAATGAACTTTTTACAAATGTCTATGAAAGAACAGAATGAAATCAAAAACACTTGAGATGTACTTTTAAGGCTATGTATGTCGATTTTTTTTTTTTAAACAATTTTTTTTTGTAGTCAAAGTATTGATTCAGGCTTCTCTATTTTTCCTCTCCCTTTACCCGGTTCAGTGTCTTTTTTTTTTTTTTTTTTTCTACACCGCTGTCACCTTTGTCTCTTTTGTTAAGCATTTCTGTTGAGGGAAGCTTCATCTTGGCTGTACCTCAGTTGGGAAAGAAAACTGATAATCAAGCCTTAAAATAAGTGTGAGCGAAACACTTCCTCCTCATACTGACTTGCATGTTTTAGTTTTTTTTTTTTGTTTTTTGTTTTTTTCATTTTATATGTCTACATATTCAGTAGAAAACATATATAGTTCTCTGCCGTCATTGCCTTACTTTTTGTTCGCTGCTGCGGTCTGTATTCATTCAGCCATATTCAGATGTAGGCCTTTAAAGCTTTTAGCTTTTCCTACTTATTCACTTTGTTCCTTCTCCGCAGGCTGTCGGTCAGGACAAAACAATCGCCTGACCAAAACACAAACACTTGCACATGCGAACCTCTGTACATAACCATGCACGCGTACGAAACTACACATTTGCAAGGACAATGAGGAAAAAAAAATTTGTTTCAGTTTTTAAGACGGTCGTATCTGCTCAGCTTTTGCCACTCGCACATTCAGCTACCAAAGTGATGCAATCCGTTTGTGGTGTAAGATGCTGCTATCCTGTGATTTCATAGTATCTGAGAGAAAAGAATGGAAAAACGTGTATTTTAGCGTGAAAAATGATGGCAAAGTAAGGTTGAAACGTAAAAGGGTGGGGGGTGGGACGGAGTGAACTAGGTGCTCAAAAGTAGAAGCTCTGAGGTCAGTTTTAGCAATTTGCGCTAAAAGGGATAGTTCAGAATGTTTAAAGTTGGGTTCTGTTAAAATTTTTAGGCAGTTCGTGTTTTCCTTACAGCAGACGAGTGTCTTGGCGTTTTCCATGTAGCATGAATCCGGATTAGTTGGTATCCGAGGCAGAAGCTAATGACTAGTCTAGGAGGGGCCGAGACTGAAGCGGACCTCTGCCGTTTTCAAAGCAACTCCGGTCTGGAAAACCTAAAAGAGATTTATTTGAATGCTTTTCAAATGGCTCAAATGAAACAAGACGATATATCCTTTTGAAAAGCTAAGAATCCAGTTTCTTTGTTTTGACAAACTGAAGTCCTGACACACTGCACGCTGTGTTTTAAGGAATCTTTGACCAGAGCAAAATAGTTTGTTCAGGAAGATGGTCAATGGCGCACTGCCTCCAAACTTATTTTCCTCTGCAAAATTCATTGCATCTGTGTAAAGTTTATCTCAAGTTTAAAGGTTAATGGCTCATGTTCCCATCAAACACATGAGTTTTTGTTTTTAGACCGGAGTCGTTTTAAGACATAGAAATTCACTCCAGTCTATCCTTTGTTGGGTTAGCTGTTAGCACCCGCTTCCGGGACCACCTAACGCCGAGTTCATGCTAAATCTACGTGCCAAGAGACTTCAAGTAAGGTATTAACTGCTTCTAATCTTTGGACAGGACCTCAGCATTCCTTTAAATACCACTCTTAGGTCAGAATCTGGACCTTGCGTCGGGCATTTGTCGACTCCAGGAAAACGGGCTGGGATCGCAATCGCCTGTTGCTTTTCTTAGGAAGGAGTTGGCCCAGCACATGTTTGATCATTTGTAAGACCCTAGGGGGGGTTCTGCCTTCTCAGATGTTATAACTTCAACCTCTCTATCTGGGGGTGCTAGCAGCCTGTTGGTGCCCTTCTCTACGATCCGCGTTTGCAAACTGGGAAAAGCCATTAGAAGTTAGCTTGCGCTTTGGTCTCCAGACATTTAGCACAAACGCTGAAGCTGTTCCTCCTCGTAGCGCATTCTGTGAATCAACACATTTAAAGACTCTTCCCCTCTCCTGAATATTTGTACTTAATCTCCCTTTTTTTCTTCTTTTTGTTCCCTTTGGCTCTCGCCTGCTTTCGATCCATCCCGTCTCTCTGCTTCCTCACATCTCTTACTCTTTCTCTATTAAAAGGTGCTTTATTGACATGTAATCAGAGCGGACATGACCTCTGAGGACTTGAACTAATCTTCACTAACCAAACAAAGCCTTGGACAGGACACAGCTCAACAGAACAGGGCATTGTGACATATGAAACAACCCCCCCCCTCCCCCCCTGACCTCCGTGTCCCGCCTCATGTCTGCTCCTCCCAGCAAATCTTTTACATCAAAGCCAAGGTACAAACCGTGTTTTATCTTCTGTAGTCCAAAGAAGTCACCCCGATCTGCGTTACTAATGTGAGACATGCCTACTTCAGCTGGGTTGGGGCTTGGTGGCGAGACCGGACGGGAGGCAGAGGTCTTGATTTAGCGCCGAGTGGCAGCCTGTGACGTACCTCAGGGATAAGACCTTACAGAGGGGGAGCTCTAATCCCGTCGTCCCCATAGCTGTCGTCACCATCATCATATTGACCATCCTTTTTTCCCCGCCTTCCTCCTTCTTCTTCCCTCTTGACGCTGCATCTCGCCCTCTGTCCTCGCTGTGCCTTGCTTCGTATGTGTCGGTAAGCAAAGCGTTTTACTAGCTCAGAAAAAAAAAAAAAAACAAAAAGAAAAAAAAAATCTTTGCCAAAGTTGATGGGGAAAGTCAAGGTAGTCCTTTTCTAGGTTTTATTTATACTATATATTTGCATACAGTACTTTACATGCCAATTACAGTGCAATCTTCATTTATTTATTGTTTAAAGATTAAGAGACAAGTGTAGTTATATACTAATTTTTTTCTTGTAGCATGTTTTTTTTTTTTTTTTTTTTTTTAAATTGTTGTATGTTAGATTGTATGATTAAGGCCAGCATTCCTTATCTCAGTAACCCTTTAAGTATTTCTCTTGCTCATCAGTTCATGCATTACCGTTTCAGACATGTAACCAAATGCCGATGGGTTTTTGTAACGTTAGACACACATGTAGCAAGTCAGACCTTAGTGTCACTTCATGTTCCTTCATATGGGGATGAATATTTCTGCCTTTGGCTTTTTTTTTTTTTTTTTCCTGTTCTGAATAGTGTTATATTGAAGCTTCTGATATCTTATTTTACAGTTTTTAATCCCAAATGGCCTTTTTTTTTTTTTTTTTTTTTTAACGATCTCTAGATATTGCAGCCATCTTGAGGGTTCTGTGATGTTCTTCTGTAACAGCACATCATTACAACTATTATTATTATTAGTATTGCTCTCTCAAATGGAACAAAACATTAACTTGATCTGTGATTACGCTTTTTTTAAATGTGTTTTTTATTGTGTTTTATAAAGCAAAATTGTGCCATTTAAAAAAAAAAAAATGTCAAGACCCCCGTACTTTGTAGAATTTTTTAAAACTAATTTCACATTTAAATTAAAAGAAAACAAACAAACAATCATGACGATTTCAGGCAGATGACGATGGGTGCTGGTTATTTCGCCCGTTCGCCGTTTCGTACCTTTTGCATGTTTGGTTGTTTTCGACTCCACGTTTTCTGTGTGAACTGGTGCCATTGAACGCACCGTCGTATCACTTGTCAACCTACAATTTAAAGGAACTTCCTAGATTCTACTGATGGTCTTGTGGAAGGAAATTTAGGCTTATAACTTCAATAAACAACATCTTCACATGAGGAAGACCTTTAACTATTTTCCATTTGATCTTGTCTTGTTTTCTAGCAATCAGTTGGCCACAACCTGAGTCGCGTTCCAGTTTTAATAAATGGGAATAGAGTTGACACTAAAATCTTAGATACTTGCAGTGGCTCTCGAAAGTGTACTGTTAGGATTCCTGGGGTTTGTACTTTATCAATTGTTTTTATGTATAATGTGAAATGTGTCCCATGTGATTCATCCGAAGAATGTAAGGGGCTAAAAACTACGTATAAAGGTTGAATAACGAGGTTTTCTTGGAATAATACAATTCCGTGTCTGTTGGCAAAGACACGGATCTGGACTTAATTTTTTTTGCCTTAGATGTGCGCTTGGAATCACGAATCACTGCGATGAGGATACCGAGACTCCCCTTCGTCGTCAGTAGACACCTGAGATTAGAGCCAAGTTGCGTTAAAAGCTGGTCACAATTTCAACCTACCTTGATGAAAATCTCAGCTGAAGGAAAGTAACCGTCACCACCGTTTTTCACTGTAGTTAAGTGCACGCTCTTCCGCAGGTTTACGTGGAGAGCTTAGATGCAACTGGAACTTTTCATTGGAAGAAAATAATTTTGTCTTGCGACTCTACTCGGTCGCCAAGAGACGTTTGTCAGAGGTTGATCTCAATTAGTCCTCTGGCTTCATCCACTGGTGGTGCTGGTTTCCTGGGATCCGCACTGGCCGACTGAGTATTTTATTTCTTGTCTTTCCAATAGTTTTGGAGAAGGAACAGGTTTTTATAAAGTCGCTACTGTCTTACACTTTCTGCTGAAACTTTCTTAATGGTGCTAGATAAATCTTTGTCCCCTTCTAAACTATACCCACGTACAATCAGGTCATTCTGATCTTTTATAAACCCTCTTCAAACCATAGCCTTTGCTAAAGAGATGCTAATAAGCAAATAATGCACTATAATCGAAAGCAGGTGTGAATTACGTAACCAGTTTACGGCACCATTTCTACCCAGTCGACTAGTACAAGATATAGATTACAAACCTGTGGATGTGTACACATTTAAGAGCCACTGTAATAAAAACGTTTATTTGTCAAACTGAAGCATTTTTATAATCCCTTATCTCTGTAATTTACGACGGACGCGACGACAACAAAACACAGGCGGATTTGCAGCGGCTTAATTAAACGGGTGCATAAAATGGTAAAAATGGTTTCAGAACAGAGGCATGAATTAGCCAAAGGGGCGAATTGCCCCGTGGCCTGATGTCAACAAAAATGGTTTGATAATTCCTTATCAGGTTAGTTGTTGCTGGTGTATCGGTAGAGTTTTCTTCTTCTTTTGTTTTCATTTTTTTTTTAATCCATTGTTTTGCTAAGAGATAATATACAGAGATATCTATAGAGTTATAGAGTAAAAATGGTAAACGCATTATGACTAACAAGAGTTGAAGCACTTTTTTTATGACGAGCATTCGACGTGACGAGGTTACGAGTGGGAGGCAACGGATCCTTTGCTCTATTTTGAGAAAACAAACAAAACAAAAAAAAAAACACTACTGCCAACGTTTACTGTTGCGTTCATTTGGCATTATCCTCCTGTTGGCATCACTGTGACATTACTGGAGCATGGCACTGCGCTCCCAGCAGAATGCAATCCACAGCACCGAGGAGAAAGTACACTTCATACGGGGTACCGTGCCTTTGCCAGATATGCTCATTGTGTGTCTGCCTAGACTGTTGCATATTAATTGACTGGTTGACGTGAGTTTTCTTGTCTTTATTAACCCCCCTTTAGCTTCCCTCTTTGAGCCTTAAAACCCCGGTGCAAGAGCAGAGGAGTCCTTCTGTCGCCAGCAGGCCAGTTATCTTAGTATTGAACAATCTGATACGTTTTGTATATCCCTTTATGGGCTTTTTTTTTTTTTTTTTTTTTTTTTTTTTTTGGTTTGTTTTCCAAATGCTGTTTAGCTTTTAAGAGACCCACTCGCCCCACAACTCCCCTCCCCGCCCCCTGCCAGTCCTGCACAGTTTGTGGCTATGTCCACAAAAAGAGACGACGTTTTAGCCCAGCAACCCCACGTCTGTGCCTTCTGATCAGTTTTTATCTTTTTACTTTTTTTTTTTTTTTAATGTACATTTTACAGTAAGTGGAGGTTTGTTTGTTTTTTTTGACTGAGAGATTTGGCAATTTGACAGAGACTCACAGGTATTTAACTATTTTCTGAAGCGAATACAAATAAAAGACAAAAAAAGATATTTTTACCTCACAATTTTAGAGCAAACATTCCAATGTTGTCATGGTCTACGATTTGACACAGAAAAAAAAGCATAAAAAAAGAAGTTCATGCATTTTTGTTATATTGTAAATGTTAGACAATTTCATATGCATTATATTAAAAAAAAGAAACTGCCATATCAATTTTAATGTATAGATTTTTGCAAATACTACCCTATGTATGTAAGACTTAACTGTATCGGTAGCGTATATATAATATATTTATGCCCAATAAATGTTTTAATTTTTTCTGACTTGCATTGCATTCGTTTTTGTTTCCTGTTGTTACTTATTCCAACTCTTACACACCATGTAATTAAATGTAGCTTCTGGTGCCTTGCAAAAAATATCCATACTCCCCTTTCCTGTGATTTGCCACATTGAGACCACAAACGGCAATTGTAGCATAAAAGTGTGTTTTATTATGATTGCATTCAATCCGATCACATAATCGACAGGAGTGTGACTTGACGTTTACAATAAGCCACGTCGGAGTACAGGAGCACACCACGGTTCTTATTTTATTTTTCAAAAAGGAACTTGCTGTACCTCCTGAGGCATTCGGTCCTGACGTGGTCCATCCTGTGTTTCTGCACAAACGCTGACGGAGATGCTTCTGCTCAGCCCGAGCCAGCCTGATGGTGGAGGAGTTTCAACACCTGGTCTGGAGGGAAATGCATTTTAGCGCCTCTAAGCAGGTGTGAGTGTGATTGCACTCGGTGTATTGTTCCACAGCTGCAGCTGAATTGCCGATCTTCGTTTGCGCGTCGGCGCTCATCAGTCTCTAAAACGCAACGTTCCGGAAGGCGGTGATGCCGACGACTGAAACCCTGACTCGATTCACCCCGTCTGCCTTTTCCTCTGATGTCAAGTCATTACCCTTGCTTCAGAGCTTCAGAAATCCACAACTCTGGTGGGAGAATCTGTCGACAGGACTTCATGGATCTGGGTGAAATGAGAGTTTTGGGAGGAAAGCTATTGAAATACTTTCTAGGGTGCACAGCAACCATGTGGAAGGTGTTCTGTTTAGATGAGACCGAAGTAGATTTTTTTTTTTTTTTACTTTAATTTAATCCTATGAAACACTCTGAACACTTTCCACACCAGTATTGGACTGAGGCGTACCGACAGATCTGGACAGATTCTCCCTTTTGTTTTTGTGCACCTGGTTGACCTCATGGCTGAATGAGGGACGCTTTAATCCTTTGTTGATGTCCGCCACTCTGGGGTCTTTAAGGGTATGTGAAGTAACAGACTGGTGTTAGTCCCTTTGGTCACTAAGGCATAATGCCTGCTAAGACGACAGACCTCACGCTGTTGTGTCGCTGGTTAGCATCATACGACGAGGTAAAACGGGGGCAAATAGAGGAATCATTAAAAAAATAAAAATCCCTAAATCTCACCCCTAGGAACAAAAATGCTGCCAAGTTTCTCAATTTATCTGTAAGCACAGATATGGAACATAGAAGAAATCAGTCTTGTCTTATTTTTAATTTACCACATTTTTTTTTAATACACAGATACATTAACCGGCAGATAACTGCCACAATTTTTTTTTCTCAAAATCCAAAACGAAATAAAACTTTTAATCATTATACATTTAGTACATTAATAAATATATCGTCCTGCTGACAGTATATACAGTTGGAAAAAATTAATTTAGCAGAAATGCATTCTTCACTGCCAAGAGGCCACATATTAAATCCAGGTGATTTTTTTTTTTTTTTTTTAAACTGCTGCCCAAAACCAAAATATCCAAAGCGTCTAATTATGAGCCAAAGCAGGGAGAACGTCATGGCGTACAGGTTGTTCATTGATCCAAAGGATGACTCAATACATGGCACACGGCTCTTAATTAATCCACACTTCTTACTTTTAATATTCACTTTCAAAAGCAGCAGGGACAGAAACCATGGCTGCTGAATACAGTTGTGATAAATGACAAGAGTACAGCACATTTAGAAAGCAACTCTTTTCTATTTTTTCCAGTTCAAATGCTTTAAAATGCCATTTATTAACAAATGTACAACTGACACACACTGATGTAAAATATGAAACGGAAGATGATTTGTGATGCAGCGAGCATAGTCTGGAGGGAAAACGGGCAAAACTTGGTTTGCGCTCGCTTTTTAAAGTAGAAAATTTTACTCAAAAACTAACCCTGAAGAAGTGGCGAGAAGGCAAAACGTTAGCGTGTCGTGGGGGAAAAAAAAGCTGAAACAAACTTTAAAAGGAAAAAAACAAGAAAAAGGTAAAATAAAAAAGTATACTGTTTTTATTAGTGCATTGCTCATAAACCAAAATGAACTGCAAGAAGAATATAGATCACACATCTGCATTCAGCTGGCAGCACATTTAGATGGCATATAAGAAAAAGTCAAATCTGCAACACGCTATAAGTGTCCAAAATACAGAGCGAGCTTAGCTGTTGGAAATGAGAACGTTGATTTATACAGCAAAATCGAGCTGTTTGTGTTTTTTGCAGTGCAGTGAAACATATGACTAATCCACTTAGAACAGTATGTTCAGAATGATTATTCTCATAATCTAGTGAAAACAAGAAACATGTGCCTCATCAGATTCCCCCTCTCTCTCTTTTTTTTTAACCTCAGATGACTAATCTAAGGTCGAAAGAAGGCCTGGCAATGGACGGAGTCTGATATTTACGTCAAATCTAGGCAAGGGGCCAATTTGTACCCAGATTAAAAAGGGAAAGTTATTCCACGATCTTTCTGTTTTTGCTGATAACCAATTAGAAACAATTATTCCCAATACAGCAATCCTACTATAGAATATAGTTTTCTTGTGAGCAACAAAAAAAAACAAAACGTTTTAGTCTATTTCAGCCAGCTGAGCAGCAGAAGGAAGGGCAGCAACGTGTTGCTATACATACAGAGAACATTACACACACCAGAAAAAGTGCTGGTGAGATTAAAAGCCTGAGCCTTTTAAAAACTAGATTCGAGTGTGGACAGACTCGGGAGGTCATCACACTGTGTGGAAATCGGTCCACAGGCTGAGTCTAAATAATAGTGAAGCCCTGAAACACGGTGATGACCCGAAACACACGAGTAAATCCACCAAGAACCGTCAAGAACCCCAGGCACAGTGGAAGCCCAGATCTTGATCTTATTAAGACTTTCAATCCTCAAAAACATTTCAGAGCTAAAAGCGAGAAATGGGACAAACTTTCCTCAGGCTGATGTCAGAGGCTGTCAGATGGACACAAGAAGTTCACAGCCAATACTGTTCTTGTATATTTAGCTCAGTTTGCAAAGTAAAAAAAAAAAATTGTGTTACCTGGGTGCAAATAAATCACTTTTTTCCCCCAACAGAAACATTAGAGAACAATTCCTAATAAACTAAAATTTGTTTGCCATTACACATTAGAGACAATTTGTAATGTTTCTAATTTGTAATATGAACATACACTGTGTTAAAACTTTATAGGATTTGATTTGTGATATACCCATCGTTTCCGACTTATGATATTTTACCGCCAAGAAAAATCCACTGAGTGGGAAACGATTAGTGCCTGGCTACAAAATGGAGGAAGGGGTGAAATGACAATGAGTGGGTAGAAAATGAGGTAACAAATTGGCAAAGGGGCGAACTGACCCCCGGAGCCCTAATCAGCCCATCCCAATAAAAAACAAAAAAACAAAGCTTTCAATCCAAAAAAGGTAAAGTACAATTAAAGCACTGCTGTTCAGGCACAGAACACCCTTTTTATGCCAGGGACCGTGACCCCTGTTTGCAGCATCAGCGCAAGCATGGAGTGGAAATTCAACATGCAGGTCTTTGGAAATATGGAGAACACAGAGTCTGCCTCATTAACAGCCTGCTACACAGCTACACACACGCTTGCACACGATCTGCACCTCTGCCCCGCTCCGAAGAAGGAGTACAGAGAAATGCGACGAGTTTTAAAATTCTACAGTGCTTCCCTTTGTCATCCAGAATACGGTATAAGGCATTTGTAGATGTGTGATATTTAGATTTATATATACAAAATGCTCCTTTTTTTTTTTTTTTTTTTAAATCCCATTTTTCAGGCCAAGAAGCATTTCCAGACGGTGTGAAGGTCGTTTACGCTCCACTTTCAAATGTTACGGCACTTGCTGAAAGAATCTGACACGTCGCGGAACATTTAAGAGCAAAACCAGCTTTCGCGAGAATTCAGTTTTAAGCATCTTCGCCTTTTGCGGTTCATGCTCTTGTTCATCAAAAGGCAAGCCTTTGGAGATTGTCCGCTCTCTGACAGGAAATGATGGCTTCCAGGTTGACTCCTCGACACGGTTGGGTTCAAAAGCTCACGGTGGATTCTGTCCAGCCGTTTGAGCCGTCGCCCTTCAAGGTGCTGGCTGTGCGGCAGCGGGATGGCTGGCCGTCGGTCAGGCCGAACAGGCGCGCCGCCGCACCCCGGTACTTCCACGACATGGTGTTGTAGAGGATCGGATTCACCGCCGCGCTCAGATAGAAGAGCACGACCGACAGCAGGCTGCAGTACTCGGACAGCACGGACAGCAGAGGAGAGGGCGCGTCCAGGGAGCGGAACTGCAGGTAGCGGCCCACGTGGAAGGGCAGCCAGCACAGAACGAAGGCCAACACGACCACCACTTGGAGAGAGAGAGAGAGAGAGAGAAGATCAAATGCTGTCCAGATTCTAAAAAGCAGAACAGAATCAAAGGCTTCAAATAAAAAAAAGAGGTTCAGGATCCATGACCAGACGCTACGCATGACCATGTTTTCATCTAACTATACATCTCATCTGTGTGAGGGGGTGGGGGGGGGGGACGACGCTCGGTCCTCATTAACTGGAAAGGCGAACAAGCATTAGAAAATAGTTGAGGGAAAAATGTTTTTATCTATTTTCAGAGCCTGTGCTGCCCCACAGAACAAGCTGTCCTGAGCTGTGACTCATTTCAGCCACATCTAGACCCACAACTCCAATCAGGTTTCTTTTTAATTTAGTTCAAAACGTACTTTTTCCCCCCTATCAGCCATCTATGTAACCCGTTTTAAAAGTTTTGATAGAGATAGTCATAGTCAAAAGAGGGCTGTTGACTAAAACTGAAGAAACTCGTTTATATATATATATATATATATATATATATATATATATATATATATATATATATATATATATATATATATATAT